TGTGTCTTTCATCATTTTGCCTTCCCTATAGTTACTGCAAGGCCTTGCCCAAGGTCTCTATTAACTAAAAGCGTCCTTAAATCAGCCTCGGAAAGCCTCTAGTAAGATTTTTTATAAAATACAGAAGAACAGCAAGACTGATGGAAAATTTATATCTGTTTAAAACATTTGCCGAACACAATACAGCGATTCTGGATAAATTGTCTTTCTTCCGAAGCCAACTTTTCGTACAGGGAAATAAATTGTATCTGCAAGGAATTTTGCATCGGATTCATACATGTCAATCCTAATTAAAAAAATACAAAAAAAATTGAGCACATTTTCTTTTTCAACTCTCTCTGTTCTGCTACTATCACTCCTCTTTCTGTAACGACACCTATATCTACTCCTTACCCTCCTATCCCACTCCCATCCTATCACAACTTCTGACTTGTTTACATTCCACTCGTCAAAAGGTCTTCCCTTTTTAGGCATTTTTATTGTGGTCTCATCACACCTGCCTCCCCCTTTTTTCGATTTGCTAATTCGACTCGGGCCTCCTATCCGGATTTCCCTCACGGTTCCGTAGATCAGTTTCTTATCTTTCTGTTTGACCGATTTCACACGGTTCCAGTCCTAGTGTGCGTTTCACTCCAGGCGCTATTTCTCAAGGCATCGTCTTCATGGATCGTCTCCTTGATTAAGCCGTGTTGCCTGAGCAAACTGTGGACGCTTGTCCAGATCATCTGCTGCATTTCGAGTGGATTTCAATTACATCTGGTCTTTAATGCCGAATTTCTGTCAGGTTGTGCTTACCCGTCTCCCTAGTTCCGTGACTGCCACGCCCCCAAAGTTGTACCGGTTTATTCGAGCAGACTTTGCCCACTGAAAACGTCTTCGCTTGATTTCCTAAATTCCCCCTTCCCAACTTTCTCTGGTTTACGGTAGCTCCTTGATCCGGGCGTCTCCTTTTTGCTGGTCTTGCCGTATCCCTGTTTTCCCCGAGTTTGATTAAGTAGTAGGCAAAATTAGAACCAACTCTGCCTTCTTACGATCTCCTATTCATTATATTTCTTTCCCCAAGGATGTTATTGGCCTCCATCATCTTCTGTTTCCTTATGTTTTCATCGTATGAGACCCTTCTTTCCTTTGCCTTTCAATTGATCTCGTGCCCAGTCTGTGCTAAGGCTGTCAAAGGGCGCACTTTTTGACGAATGGAATGTTAACCAGTCAGAAGTTGTGATAGGACGGGATTTGGATAAGAGGGTAAGGAGTAGATAGATGGGCTGTGACAGAAAGAGTGATAGCTTAATCGTTTCGACAGAAAGTTTGGTCAGGGGTTTGGCTTCACTTGTCACTTCGACGAGTTGTAGCTTGGTGCTGAGAATGACAAGACTCATGAACGATGCCGGATTCCAGATCTTATTTTCATAACATCCTAGTTAAAATCTGCCCTTTATAACCTCTACATTTTTTTCTATAAATTATCATGGGTATCTGTTACTAAGGCAAATCCGTGTCAGTTCGTCCAACTCCTTGTCTGTTAGTCGTAAACTTCTGATGATCAAACTCCTCAGTATTCCGATCTTCAGTCTGTAGTTATGATGGGACTGAAAATTAAGGATTATTCCCGCATATGAATTATTTCTGTATAGTCTCCTCATTAGTGTTCCCTTGGAGCGTATGATTTCAACATCCAGAAAGAGTAGTCGTTCATCCTCCTCCACCTCCATTGTGAATGTAATTCTTTCGTCAAGTTGGTTAATAAAATTGAGGAATTCATTTAGATTTTCCTTACCATGTGACCAAAGTGCAAAGTAGTCATCCACATATCGCATGAGCACTCTTGGTCGCAGTGGTGACTTCTCGAATTCCCTTTCCAACTTGTCCATGTACACATTTGCCAAAAGAGGTGACAGTGGAGATCGCATCGGTAGTCCAAATATTTGCTCGTAGCTACCTCCGTTAAATGTAAAATATGTGGTTCTTACTGTCAGGTTGATCAATCGTGTTAACGATTCTTTCCGTATCCGTTCTGCCTTAGGATGTCCTCTTCTCGCTCAAAAATCTCCAGCAAGGCGCTTACCGCCTTCTCACCTGAGATGTTTGTGTACATGGATTGTACATCGAAACTCACCAACAGCTCCGACTCCACTAACCCAAAGTTCTGGATCCTTTAAGAAAATTCATAAGAATTCTTGACGGTATTCAGGATTCTGTCATTAACTTTCTTGAGCCTCAAGCAAATGAATTTCGCTAGTTTATGCATTGTTGACTATTAGTCTATCGCATTCACTTCCTTGTGTATCTTCGGTAGTCCGTAGGCTGTCGGGAATTATGCTAAGTACTATGGCAGAGGACTTCGGACAAGCCACTCTCAACTAAGTCACCCTGACGGCAAGACCAGGTTGCAAAAGCGAGGTCAACCCACTTCTATTCATTGAAACGATACTGCGACCATGCCGAAGGCCACACCATCTTGGCCTTCATCTCTTTTTAAATTGTAAGCTCAAGCATATTTTAGGTAATGGCTCTCTTTGAGACTTCACTCTTCAACTCTAGTAGAATACGTGGCTTGTCTTTGTTCCACACATCACTACTTGTGAATTGATAGACAAAGTGGGAGTGGAAGAAGATAGATTGAGCTTGTGCTCCTTGCATCCGCAGTATAAATGTGTCTACTTGATCTTCATGTGGTACCAATACATCGATACCTGATGCTTACCAAAGATTTTGCTCTCACAACTTTGCTTTCGGTACATTGTTAGTTTGTACGCACAGCTTTTGCAAGGGGTAGTTCTAGAATTTGCTATATGTAGCCTCTTACTTGGAAAAGCATTTTGGTAAATAACATTCGTACATCTGTTATTTGCGCTTTACTATAACGACGCTGGTGGCGAATCATTTTGTCTGTTTCTCTCTTCATCAGATGACTGCAGCTAGCAAGGGACATGTACCACAGTCTTCCGGCCGCGTGAAGGCTATCCAGCCCGCTTCTTGCTCATATAGCCGGACTTCCGTTGCTCCAGGCACCGATTTCTCAACACCTCTGTCAAGAATGATGCCCATCTCAACTGAATACTGGTGCTCTGCTCTGGCCAGGCTCATTGAAACGTCCCGAGCTGGTGCTGGAGTCCAGTTGATCGATGCGACGTGTATCGAGAAAGCTGAATTTCCCACTGATTTCGCCTCGGCGATTGCTACTACTGCTAGTACTGTCTCTGCTGCCAACGAATTTCTCTCCACTCCATCTCATGCAGTCCCTTCTGGTTCTGCCACCGCCTCGAATTCGGGCATTAGGCATGTGTTTTTGACAAATTAACTTCATGGAGGCTGTATTCAGCCTATTTCTGTTAAGATGCTGAAAGACTGTAGTTGCATTTTCCTACAATCATGTGATTAGGCCTTATGCTTCCATTGAATTTCACATGGCATTGCTTCCAAAAAGGTATTAAACTGCAATTTTGGCTGGACTCGAACTAAGCTTGTGCAGCGGGTAGTTCCGACACGTGGAAACTGCAGCCCAGACTGGATGAGAATCTCTATGGGGAAGCAAGGCTGTGCGGAATTCACAGGAAACATAAGGCCTATTTTATATCGTTGTGAGGAACTTCAATAACCAGTCCTTCACAATCTCAAACGTATTGGGGTGAATGTAGCTTTTATATCAGATTTAATAGTGGTCTAAATAACCTACCTATAAACATACTATTAAATGTGCATTGTTACAATCCTATTTTCGGCTCTAATATGGTTACTTTTTTGGGACACCAAGAAAAAAATAATTTTCACTTGAGGAAACTTAATAGCACCTGCCTGATTCTCTTTTAAAACCACAGCTTGATCCAAGTTTATCCCTCAACCTACTCTTGCTTTCGATACGTTTTCCCTAAAGACTGGAATTAGGGGTTATTAATATTCTCTGAGGCTGTTCATCCACGCCCCTTAGGTATCTATCTCTTTAGCGTTTTCTATCATTGTATATCCGATTTATTTTTAAACTCAGCGATAACCTTTCAACTTATTTATCTTATTCTACTTTAGTCACTCAAATCCCTAATCTGTTTTTATTCCCTTCCCTTTGGGTTTTATTCTTGAGTCGCTGGCACCCACTAGGCCCATTTGGGAGTTGCTTAAATTGAAAGTTTTCTCTATTTTAACCACTCTTCTTGCCACAAACTTCGTACAAAGAACCGTCGGAACAGCCTTATTTGCTTGCTATATTTTCATTTTTTCTCTATCCTTCTTTATTTTCCAGTAGCAATCCAATTCAATTTCTTCCACACAATCATGCTTTCAGTTTAGCTGGAAACTTCTCCACCTCTCCCAAATGGTGCCGAAGAGCTTCGTCGGTGGCTATCGGTTTACTCGCCTGGCTTTTGGAGCATTTTGGCCGAGGTATAACCACTTCTAGACCAATCATGCCTAATGTTCGGCCTGAGCTGCTGGAATAGTAAGACAAACTTTTTTAAGCTAGTTTCTACATTTTTTTGACTCCTGATTAATATTTTACTTAGCTTTATTTCTTTTTTCAGATATAATAATTACGCGATGTCTATTTTTTGCACTATTTCGATTATTTCTTGATGCCCTCCTCGTTTTATACTTTTCATGCTAATGCTTTGACTCCTTTAGACTGCATATAATTTGGGGAACTTTAAAGACAATTTCTGAGACGTCGATAGAGAAAATCCATCCTTTATATTTTTCTGAAAGTATATACTCTTGTAGAATAACTTATGTAAGTGATATTCGGCTTCAGAATTCACAACTTTTTTTAGCTGTATTTTATGGACGAATGGAGGGTTTTATACGATGATCTTGACCTGA